CTCCCAAGTAGCTGGGACTACAGGCATGCGCCACCATGCCCGGCTAATTTTTTGTATATATATTAGTTGGCCAATTAATTTCTTTCTATTTATAGTAGAGACGGGGTCTCGCTCTTGCTCAGGCTGGTTTCGAACTCCTGACCTTGAGCAATCCACCCACCTCAGCCTCCCAGAGAGCTAGGATTACAGGCGTGAGCCACCGCGCCCGGCTTGTATTATTTTTAATTGGAAAATTTTCACATGCCTCACACTCTTTAAATTTGCCTGCATTTCCGTTTGCAGCATGTTGTGTGATTCTGCTTCCTATTTTACCTACCTAGTGATAGTCGCTGGAGAAAGACAGCCCATGTACAGGCATGTCTACATGCACCAAGTTCTTTATTAAGTGTGCAAGAAACTAACACATAAAGTAGAATCTATGGGATAATGTGGTCATTTGGGATGGAGGCGAGGGAAAAAAACACTGCATTTTGTCCAAAATGGAGCCAGTAACCATGTGTACAATTTACATCAAAAATGGCTCCAAAAAATATACATAGTGCTACTTCCATTTATCCCATATCTGAATGCAAAAGTATACTTAGCTGGTAATTCTCAAAATGTTTTGTTGACTTGGGTAAAAAGAAATCCATTTTATGTGCACAGAATGCTTCAGGACTTCTGCTTGGCTACCAATCTGCCAAGTAGGCTGATGACCAATGTCCTGTAGTAACTGGCAGTTCTTTGGACCTAGACACACTTCGCTGATCTAGGAAAAAGACCAACTTTGAACTCAGCCAATATTTTTTTCAATTAACATACAAGATGAAATTCTTTGTCAGCAAATACCTTTTAGAGAAAGTATAACACAAACACATTTGGAAAACATTCTATTAAGTACTGTATATTTAAACAGCTGTGTAGATAATAAACACATTGAACTACACCAAGAAAATTATGTATTTAAAGAAACAACTACTAAGTGAACAGAGACAGACAAAGTCCTCCATTATACAAGATTTCTTCTCATGGAAATTTATGGGAGCCAAGCAGTGGAATGGGCTTGTAAGTAAACTGATTTTTATCAAATCGGACATTATTGCAGAATTCCTTGTGTATAAGAGAAATATGCACGTGCTCTTTTCAAGGAGTAATAATCCACCACAGATATTACCGTTTAAACCTGTGCTCGTGTCTGCCAAAAATACCAAGATGTGTTAAACACGATAAAATAGCAGAAATGTGCTTTAAAATATGTTCATCTGTTTCACTAATCTAATTTCAAAACTAAAAATTCTCATCCTTAGCATTGTTTCCTTAGAATCACTCAGGGCTCAAATTCACTGACTGAACTTTTTAAAATTCTACCCTGAGTTGCCTAGTGACCTCTAACCCAACTACTGAAATAAAGCAGATTTGCACTGTAGTTACATTATATATAGAATAAAACAGTTGCTAACTTTTGTTATCATTGTGCGAATAGGAGAAGTGTGGGGCTTTGCTCTCCTAGCTTGGAAGCAGTGAAGTTGTCAAAATCAGAGCGCTGATGTCCTGATGGTTGGTCCTGGGCTCTTCTCAAGACACCGTGGTGCAAATGTGCTTACAAGTTTTGGGACGTAAGTAATCTTGGCATTTTGTTGTTGGACGTGGGATAAGGAGGCTGGTATAACAGTAATAGGGCTGAGAATCTTGCTGCCCATAGGGGAGTAATTACTAAAAGCGTTACAATAGTAAAAGGGCTGGATTTCATAGGAATTCCTATAGAAAAAAAAACAATCAAAATGCTCTCAACTACTAACAAGAACATTATTGGTAAGTGGGACTCTTGACAGGAAGCCTTTCTTGAGTGCTCCACATGTTGACTTTTTGGCACATTTTAGGAAAATAACACACCAGTATTTACACATTTTAAAAAATAACCACAGAATTATCATGTACAGACAGTTCTGCTGTTGCTCGCCCAGGCCTCAAAATGAAAAGGAGCAGATAACATGTAGCCAAAGCCACCTTATTCCCGCTTTCTCTTGCAAAACATCCAAATGCAAACCATTTTTATCTTTTTTATACTTAGCACCAACAGGAAGAAGAGGTAAGGAAGAGAGAAGGCTGCCACGAAGCTTTAGGAGTAGCTGCCAAAGGCTGCTTCCCCTCAAGAGTTCAAACACCATGGGGACCAGAGAATTCCATGAACAGAGCCTGTGTGACTCAGCTCATCTTTGCTTTGGGGTCCTTTTCTTTAATGGAACAAAACACAATAACTTTTCAAGTTTTAGCCTAATACAGCCTACATTATGAAATAATTTTTCCTAGAATGTTAATGTCTAAGATGTTATTTTCTAGTAGAAAGGAACTGGAAAATGGGTCATACATCCACATTACAAATGGTATAATTTATAGCCGAACACCTTGGTTGAAGTTAAACACCACCAAATGTAGACAATCTTATCACACTATCTCAAACAGCTCTAATATTTCTAACTTCCAGACCACTAAAAGATCCTCCTACTATATTTTTTGCCCCCAAGATTCACACATTGTTAAGAAGTAGATTATGGTTTAGGACGTTCAGAATAAGATCAAAATTACTTCAAATGACATGTTCCAAGAATAAAAATCACAAAGAAATTTTGTACTTATTGTTGGTATTGATTTTGGTGTATAATTTTGAAATAATTTTACATGTCTTATAGGAACAAGCAAATGAATAAATATTAATCTTCTTTGGAAGCACATTCTCACCGAGGCAGAAGGAAGATACAAATATGGAACAGGGAAGGATGAGGAAGATCGGTGTTACATTTGAATTGCAAGTATCAGAATGAACTCATGATCTATTAAAAACGCATTTGTCTGTTCCCTAAATGGGCCCAGAAGCAGTGACGCCCCAGTAGAATCCAGATCTTTACTTCCAAATACCACTGCCCGTGAAATTGCAGGGTTCCCAGGGCTCTTAGAAAAACAGGCAATTCCCAGTCTGGGGCAGGAAAAATACATAAGCCTAGAACATCTTGCTATGGCAAAAAGCAAGGAAGTGCTCAAGACTGATGGTCCACAATGACCCATAAACAAGCTTACAGGTGCTCCTCCTGGCTAAATTTGGAACAATTACATAATTAGGATTCTAAAAAATAATCCATGAGCCCGATTGATACTTAAAAAAAGTGAGTAGAGGGAGGGAAGAAGTACTTCTTGTAGAAGAATGTCAGCTAATAAATGTAGATGGAATGCTAGACTTAGCAAACTTACAGCCACCAATGTAATGAAAGAATGGATTTAGGCAAGGGTTATCAATGAATGATAAAACCATTGAGGGAATAGGATATCCAGTTAGTCTCCAAGTAACTTCTAAAAAAAAAAGATTTTTTTTTTTACAGTGAGAAGTCCTGACACCAAGTGATCAAACTTAGCATTAGCAGGTGACAACAACAGTATGTGATACAACAAATGGGAAGCACAAAATGCTGTCGACGTGGTCTTCTGCCAAAGTGTTTATTCTGCACCGCATGAGAAGCAATCAGATTTTCACGAACTAACTGGCCTGATTTTTCAAGTGACCATTTCATAAAACATTAAAAAATTGGAAGGACTGTTCTAAAGACTAGGGGTACATGACAGTCAAATGTCATAGTTTTGGATAGCAGATTTATAACAAAGAAGAAGAAAAAAAAAAAGCTTTAAAGACTATTTTGGGGGAAGTTGAAAAATTCTGAATGTGTACTATACATTAAATAGTTCTGTATGAATATTACATTTCAAATTGCATTATGATCATGTAGGAGCATATATCCTTATGTTTTAAGAGATACACGCTGAAGAGTAATGGGTGTTGCTGCTGCTTTGAAAAGTGCTTAAAGCAAAGGTGGCAAAATCACTTGTTAAATACAGTTAAAAGATATATGATCATTTCATTACACTACCATTTTCCACATTTCTATAAATTTGAACATTTCCAAAATAAAAAATTGGAAGTAAAAAAAATAAAATTGAATTAAAAACAAGGAAATAGCTTACATATATCATGAGGGTGCATTTGGAGGCTTGAGCAAAGAGAGCATCCTACTCTCAACTTTGACCAAAGCCAAAGAAAAACCAGAAGTGGGTAGAGGGCAAACTGAGGAATCATGTGAAGATGGCAAAGAAATTCCTAAACCTCCTCTTGCCTATTTATTCAGACATGTAAGTGGCAAGTGGTAGAACGGTATTGGTGAACGGGGTCTAATCCCATTAATCCATTTTATCAGCAAAACACATCAAATCAAGATAAAATGCAAATGTTTCTCTTCTTCTAGATTGTAATTCCAAAGGTGTTGGAGGACAGGCAGGGAAAAGGAACGTTATTTTAAAAGTTAATAGGCTGGTGGCTCATGCCTGTAATCCCAGCACTTTGGGAGGCCAAGGTGGGGGTCGCTTGAACAGAGGAGTCTGAGGCCGCAGTGAGCTATGATGATGCCACTGCACTCTAGCCCAGGAGACACAGCCAAGACCCTTCTCCAAAAAAACAAACAAAAAAAACCCCCACTGACTTATTTTGTGAAAAATTGACAGAATGATGAAATTAAGTGTTCTCTCAGCCAAAAACTGGAATATCTGTAATTAGATATATGCAATTAGACTAGAGCCCCTATTGTTTTAAAATCTCCCAAACTGAAAAAAGCAGTATCAGCATGTTTTATCTTTGAACCAAACACTATCTCACCAAGGTTTTATTCCCTTGAGTTTATTTTCTAATGACAGACATTGAATAAACCCAGTGTTAATTCTACTATCAGTACATAAAATGCTCCCCCAAATATTCAGCATTCTGTCTTCAAAGCTCTCAACAATCTGGCTGCACCTCCAACGCTGCTGGCCGACTCTGGACTTGAGCACAGCACTGCAATTACCGGACAGGCTTTAAACCTGCAAAAGTATTTCTACTCAAAGGGTCATGAGTTGATTTTCAGTTATGAAATCGGCCTCCCCATTCCCACCTCTCCCCTCTAAAATCCCAAGGAAATGCAGCAAAGTTAATGACTACAGGGTAGGATAATCAAACTTTTTAATCTCCCTTTACACATTATATTAACATTCATATTGCAAGGCATTCCATTCACAAATATTACAGTTTGATAAAAACTTCACACACATACCCCCAAGTCTATACCGGATTCAGTCACTTCGCTAAATCATTAAAATAATAAAAGTAATGAAAACATTATTATAATTATTTTAAAGCAATAAGGTCTGAGGCACTCTGGGAAAGATGTTTTCTTACAAGTATAATGTCAGTGGTATCAAATTATATTACAAGAGAGTCATCGGATTTGGGTAATCAAGTACACTCTAATGACAATGACTTTAGGATCTGTTTTTATCGCATACACTCGGATTTGGACAACGGCTGAAAGGAACGGACACTGGGCAGCTGAGGTCAATTCTAACGAGGTTCCCCCTACGTAAAGGCAAGGTGTGTTCAGCACACACAGCCAGCCACGTCCCTGCTGCAAGTTACAGTACAAAGAAGGTCCTCTCTCATCACTCCCAGGTTTGCTACGGGTTAGAATCCTGGGCCCACTTGACACACTGTAGAGCCCTTTCCCCGCCATCCTCGGCAGTGCTCCACCCTTCCCCGGGTGTCTCCAAGGCCCGGCCTTGAGACAAGATAGAGAAGGGAACAGAAGGGACTTTTCCCTCCCACTTCTGTCCAAGCAGGGTCTGAAACAGAGTGTATTATCAAGTTCTCACGCCCTGCAACAGCCGGCCACCGCTTGGCGCATGGTCATTTTTTGCCAAAAACTAGACTTTTAAGAGCCTGATATCCTCCTTCCAAAGTGAATTTTATCACATTCATTCACGGACACACACGGAGTGCACACTGGAGAAAAATCTCACTGAGTGCTTCCCGACACACCGCCGCGCGTGTGAGCCACCAGCACGGGCGGGGGCGAGTCCCAACCGGGACTCAGGTCACTGCAAACTAAGGGCCCGTCTGCGAGGGCAGCGCGCGGTCAGGGCAGAGCCAAGCAACCCCAGGGCGCGGCTGGCAACTGCGTACATGGGATTTAAAATGTACACGTGTATATATCTCCATATATATAATTTTAAAAATCTGGTGCAACACATATTGCTGAAGTTTCAAGGATTCTCCTCTCCAGCGTTCACCTGAAAAGCAGCTGGCTCCTGGCGGCCGGCGTGTGGCAGTGACAAAAGCAACTAGAAGCAGGTTTGGGTCAAAGTGCTGAGAGGGCCAAGAGGAGAGGTGCACAGAGACGGGCGGGGCAGCAGTGAAAGGAGCTGAGCGGCGTCTCCGTCCGCTTCCCGGCTCTTCAGACCTAGGCCCAGGCCTCGAGACACGCGGCCAATGCTGCGGGCCTTCCTTACCTACGGTCAGAACAAAACAAGTGATAAAAAAGGTTCCTCCGCCTGTCTGTGCCATCGATAAAATGCACGGCACAGCGAGAAGGTGCCACTGAGACGTGCCACCGCGGGAGGAATTAAAACTGGGACATGAAGTGCGGCCGCGGGGTGTCGAGCCGCTGGGTGAGGATCTCGCAGCCGGCGTCCGTGACCAGCAGGGTGTGCTCGAACTGCGCCGACCGCTTCCCGTCCCGCGTCACCGCCGTCCAGCCGTCCGGCCAGGTCTCGTCCTGCCAGCCACCTTAGCGAACAGAGACAACGCCTTAAGCCGAGGCCTCGGTGTTCCACATAAGCTCTCTAGGTAAGCGCGTATCGGCAAAGAAACCAAGTGGAAAATTTCCTACTAAGATCCTACTCACACTTCCATTATTGTAGCTAAGGCCTTTCCAACTGCATTTTTGTCTGAGCACCGACAATGTAAAGACGATGTTTAAATTGGCTCAGGTGTGTTGCAGCTTCACATCTTTTATATTTCCCAAATATCAAATCAAGACACAATTTCCAAAACAAAGGTGCTGCATTTCATTTTAGATAACACATTGATAACACTCATCACACACACAACTATGAGTAAAAACTGGAATCAATTTAGTTCTTTGCTGGCATATCCCTGGCATCTGACTAGCTAGTGGATATTGTGAAGGAAATCACATACATTTTTATACTTTTATTGTAGCATTTAATTCCTGATATAATTTCAAAATGACAGGCACACAATCAGATGGTGAGGACAGATTATAGTGTGAAACTTTTGTAGGCCACAGCCCTGCAACCAGAGAGAAGGAAAAAGAGAAAGAGATTGGTACGGAGGGTGAGAAAAATGCCCTGCAGCAGACTGGGCTACAGTGGAGGACAACTAGAGGAGGACAGGGACAGGAAAGCAGCCGGGAGAGACGAGAGGACAGTGGGGAGGGAGCGGGTGTCGATGCAGGGACGGCAGAAAGACAAGCCCAGAGACTCCGAGGCAGAGGCAGAATGAGGAAGTTCAGCAATTCTGGACACTGCTATAAAAATATGTATTCACAGAGCTTTCGGGTTTCAAAATTAGATGTCAAAAAAAAATCAATACGTTCTTCACTGTAATCTTTAAGAGAAACATATTACTTTAGGACTGACTCACATAGACAAATCCCAGCCATACTCTGTGGTGAAGTCATCTACTCGTACAATATGAAATCCCAGGCTCAAGAGAAAATATGAGGCAGCTTAAAGAAAGCTAGTTCGTGCCTCGTCAAACATCTTAAGATGAGTAAATAGATATTTTTCAATGTAATGACCTTCACATAAATGGGTTTAAAATATTACTACTCTGATTTTATTATGATCTGATCAAACAGGATTTTTAGTAATATTGAGTCAAACATACTGGGCTACTGTTTTGAGCAAATTCCTTTTTTTTTTTTTTGAGACAGAGTCTTGCTTTATTGCCCAGGCTAGAGTGAGTGCCGTGGCGTCAGCCTAGCTCACGGCAACCTCAAACTCCTGGGCTCAAGCAATCCTGCTGCCTCAGCCTCCCAGCTGGGACTACAGGCATGCGCCACCATGCCCGGCTAATTTTTTCTATATATATTAGTTAGCCAATTAATTTCTTTCTATTTGTAGTAGAGACGGGGTCTCGCTCTTGCTCAGGCTGGTTTTGAACTCCTGACCTCGAGCAATCCGGCGCCTCGGCCTCTCAAAGTGCTAGGAGGTCAGGCGTGAGCCACCACGCCTGGCCTAAATTCCCCTTTAGATATGAGACTTTCCATTCCACAGCTGGAATTTAACCTGAGTTATGCTGAAGAACATCTGCTATAAGCTGATGATCATCTCTACAGGGAGTTATCTGATTACTCCTGAAAATACTAACACACCTGCTGCCCTCACAACTGCTTGCACATGATCAGAACTTTATTCTCAGTCCACTAGGATGACACCACCACCACCTCATATTTGTGAAGTCCTTTAAAGCTGCAGTGCCCAACCCCTGGGCTGCGGTCCGGTACTGGTCTGTGGCCGGTCAGGAACCAGGCCGCACAGCAAGGGGTGAGCGGCGGGAGGATGAGCAAGTGAAGCTTCTCCTGTATTTACAGCCCCTCACCACCTGCCCCCGCCCCCCGGCCGTGGAAAACCTGTCCCTGGTGCCAAAAAGGTGAACAAAGTAGTCAGTGTTAATAATACAAATAAACCATCTCACTTAATTCTCACAGCAGCCCTGTTTGTTGGTAAGATAAGGATCATAATTTACATTTTACAGAAAAGGCAGTAATAGGCCAGGCGAGGTGGCTCACACCTGTAATCCCAGCACTCTGGGAGGCTGAGGCAGGCGGATTGTGTGAGCTCAGGAGTTCAAGACCAGCCTGAGCAAGAGCGAGACCCCGTCTCTACTAAAAATAGAAAGAAATTAGCTAGACAACTAAAAAAAAAAAATATATATAAAAATTAGCCGGGCATGGTGGCGCATGCCTGTAGTCCCAGCTACTCAGGAGGCTGAGGCAGGAGGATCACCTGAGCCCAGGAGTTGGAGGTTGCTGTGAGCTAGGCTGATGCCACGGCACTCTAGCCCAGGCAACAGAGTGAGACTCTGCCTCCAAAAATAAAAAAAGAATTAAATCACATAACTGTCTGCCTCAAAGCGCGTGGCTCAACAAATGCTTTTCCCCCCTCCTCTTCCCCTCCTACATCAAGCAAGAACTTCTACGCAGGCTTCACACGGCTCCTAATTATTATAATGCACCCTGACAAGATCTTTATGACTTTCTTGCCAACCCTTAAAAATTTCAGTTCCCTATATGACAGTGAATCAAGTTTGAGAAGGAACAGGGAGTGGGAAAGAAGCGAAAAGAAGCAAGAACAGATCACTGATCTGATGAATAACCTAAAATAAATAAAATTCAATTAAAGAATATTACTGCATCTTTTTTCTCACCTTCACAAATCATTGGCTCAATTGTAAATACATGGCCCGACTTCATCACTCCAACTGCTTTATTTTCTGAAAGTAAAGGAAAAAAGAATCTCAAAAGATAGCAAACCAATAGTGTTTTGTTGAATAGCCAACTGGAGAGAGTACACAACTTACTACATCAGTGATTCTTAAACTAATTACCTCCTCTTCTCCTGATTCCACTAAAATCTATCATTCAACAAACAGGTGTTACGCTGGCAAACCACCCACTCTGGGGCACACACTGTTCTAGGCACATTTCATTCTGCTTATGTTTTCTCTAGGAAAATACATATATTCATAGGCCAAATACATATATTCATATTCATTTCAGATATGATTCTCAACTTCTATAAAAGGAAAAGTATCACCATTTATGTTATTGCAGGATTAGAACTGCAATCCCAGAACCAGGCAAAGTTCCATTATTCACCCAGGTACAGAAGCTTAAAGGAGAACAACAAATGTTTCAGATCATGCCGGAAGTCTCCTACCTCTTTGGGGGGGGAGGGGTATGTATTTTTGTGTATAGGGATCCAGTCCTTAGAAACAACTACATGATTTTCATAACATTTTAAATTAGTTGTCTTCTTCTTCTCCTCTTCAAAAGGAAATAAACCTACTTTGACACTAACCTACTTTAAATGCTGAGACTATTCGTTTTTATTTGAAAAATAATTCCATTTCTCGTTCCAAATAATGTTTTACCTCTTTTTGTCCAAGTTCGCTAATGAGAGTATTTTTCAGAACCAGTATGAGAAACATAATTATGCATTAAAGCATCCAGACTTGCCATTGCCCCCAAAAGGCCATAATTTTTTATAAATAGGTATGGGACTTTTTAGGCAATTTCAGACAAAAATAGAGAACCAGTTTAATTTCAAACTAAAAAACAAGAATCAATACCAGTATCAGCAAAACGAACGCCTGCGCTGCTCCGCCTGACCACCAGAGGGCAGATGCATCAGCCTTTCTGGGCTCCTTTGTGACCTGTCAGTATTACAACTTTGCTAACAAATGTGTGCACAGAGGCTGAATCTACAAAACGCCACTCATTCTAGGTATAGTCTAATCTCGTCCACACGTCTCCATTCCTGCGTATCTTCGCTGGTGAATAGGTATCGTGCTACTTTCCACTGTCTTAGGTATTGCCAAAATATACTTATTGCAGGTTTCAAATCTGGACTTTTCTAAACAGTTATAAAATCTTAAGGACAAAACATTTTTGACTTTTCATTTCTGATCTCACAAACTTTCCTTCAAACTGGCATGCAATTTAATACATAAATTGGGAGATAGGATACCAAAAAGGAAATATCAAGAGTGTCAGTGTGGTGTCACAGAAAGAAAAAAGGAACAAGGAATCTAGAAGCCTGCTGTCTGCCTGTGGCAGCACTGACCACATGCAGCTAGCAAGCACTGGAACAAGCAGCTCCTTCACTGAGACGGTCTATCAGCACAAGAACACCAATTTTGAATATCAAAACATCCTGTAATATATACATCAATAATTTTTATGTGGATTAAATTTTGAAATGCTAATATTCTGAATGTACTGTTAAATAGGCCAAAAAATAAATTTCAGCTATTTTTTACTTTTAATGCAGCCACTAGAAAATCTTAAATTATATATGTGCCTCATATTTCAATTAGACAACACTGATACAGAGATTCTAAATTCCACTACTGTTTCTGCCACTAAGTCATTATTATTATAGCAAAGGTACAACTCCTACTCATTTAGACTATTAAAGTTTCAGTTTCTCAACGTATCTCTCTCAATATATATTATGAGGGACTATACTATTGCTGACACAATGCTGGGTACCTTTTAAAAAATTTGTACCTGCTCTACTGTCTAGCTCACGTAATTACTGTAATATACAGGCATACCTTGTTTTATTGTGCTTCACAGATATTGCATGGCTTTTGTTTTCTAAACAAAGAAAAGGTTTGTGGCAACTGCACTGAGCAAGTCTATCGGTGAACAGCATGTGTTCACTTCATGTCTCTGTGTCATATTTTAGTAAATACACAATATTTCAACCTTTTTCATTATTATTATATCTGTTATAGTGATCTGCAATCAGTAGTCTTTGATGTTACTGCTGCACTGGTGTGGGGGCAACCCAAACCACACCCGTGAGACGGCAAAGTTAATGGATACACGTTTTGTATTCTGACTACTCCACCATCAACTGTCCTTGGCCTGGCTATTCCCTGGGACACAACAATATTGAAATTAGACCAACTGATAACCCTACAATGGCCTCTAAGTGTTTGAGTGAAACACTTAGTTACATGTCTCTCACTTTAAATCAAAAGCTAGAAATGATTAAGCTTAGTGAGGAAAGAATGTCAAAAGCTAAGACAGGCCAAAGTTATGAATGCAAAGAAAAAGTTCTTGAAGGAAATTAAAAGTGATACTTCAGTAAACAAATGAATGGTAAAAAAAAAAAAAAAAAAAAGTGAACTTTATTCAGGACCACTGCAACACATACAGCAACACTGCAATGTGGTCTTGCAGTGGGGAAGTGAGTGAGACTCTGTCTTAAAGAAAAATAAAAGTGCTAGAACAGTGAACACAAAAAAAAAAAAAAAGTGAAACAGCCTTACTGCTGAGATGGAGAAAGTTGTAGTGGTCTGGACAGAAGATCAGACCAGCCACAACATTCCCTTGGCCAAAACGTAAGCCAGAGGTAGGCCCCAAATCTCTCAATTCTATGAAGGCTGAGAGAGGTGAGGAAGCTACAGAAGAAAAGTTCGAAGTTAGCAAAGGTTAGATCACAAGGTTTAAGGAAAGAAGCCGTCTCCATAACACAAAAGTGAAAGATGAAGCAGCAAGTGCAGATACAGAAACTATAGTAAATTAAATTATCCAGAAAATCTAGCTAAAATAACTGATAAAGGAAGCTCACTAAATAATAGATTCTAATCTGTTTGTGGATAAAACAGCCCTCTGTTGGAAGAAGATACAATTTAGGACTTTCATAGATAGAGGTCAGTGCCTGGCTTCAAAGCTTCAAAGGACAGGATGACTTTAGTTAGAGACTAGTGCAGCTGGTGACTCTTACGTTAAAGCCAATGCTCATTTATCATTCCAAAAATAGTAAGAATTATGCTAAATCTGCTCTGCCCGTGTTCTAGAAGTGGAACAAAGCCTAGATGCCAGCACATCTATTTATAGTATGGTTTACCAATATTTTAAGCTCACTGTTGAGACCTACTGCTCAGAAAAAAGACTCCTTTCAAAATATTACTGCTAGCTGGCAACGCACTGGTCACCCAAGAGCTCTAGCGGAGATGTGCAAGGAGCTGAATGCCGTCTGCATGCCTACTAACACACAGCCATTCTGGAGCCCATGCATGGATCAAGAAGTAACTTCCACTTTCAAGTCTTAGGACTTAAGAAATACATTTTGTAAGGCCACAGCTGCCATGGAGAGCATGGCCTCTGATGGATCTGGACAAAGTAAATTGAAAACTTTCTGGAAAGGATTCACTATTCTAGATGCCATTAAAAACATTTGTAATTCATGGAAGGAGGTCAAAATATCAACATGAACGGGAGTTTGGACAAATTTGATTCCAACCCTCATGTTTAACTTTAAGGGGTTCAAGACTTTAGTGGAGGAAGTAACCGCAGGTGTGGTGGAGATAGCAAGAGAACTAGAATTAGAAGCAGAAACTGAAGATATCACTGAGTAACTGCCATCTCATGATAAAATTGGAGTGGGTGAGAAGTTGCTTCTTATGGATGGGCAAAGGGAGTGGTTTACTGAGATGGAACCTACTCCTAATGAAATGCTGTGAACATTGCTGAAATGACAATAAATGATTTAGAATATAACATAAACCTGCTTGATAAAGTAGCTGCAGGCTTTCGGAGGATTGATTCCAATTTTTATGAAAGAAGTTCTACTGTGGCTAAAATGCTATTAAATAGCATCACATGCTACATAGAAATCTTCCATGAAAGAAGAGTCAGTTGATGTGACTAACTTCACTGTTGTCTCATTTTCGGAAATGGCCACAGCCACCTCAACTTTCAGCAAACACCAACATCTAAGCAAGATCCTCCACCAGCAAAAAGATCACCATGTGTTAAAGGTTTGATAGATGATTGTTAGCATTTTTTAGCAATGAAGTATTTTTTATTTAAGTAAAATTATTTTATTTAAGGTATGTACATTTTTTTTAGACAATGTCACTGCATACTTAACAAACTACGTATAGTGTAATCATAACTTTTATATGCATTGGGAAACCAAAAAATTCATGAGACTCGCTTTATTGCAATATTTCCTCTAATTTACTGCAATGGTCTAGAACTGAACACGTAGTAGTTTATCTCCAAGGTATGCCTGTACATTCTAAATGTGGGATGTTACCGTCTTTACTTTCCAACCATTAATGACTTACACAAAGAAGCAAATACACTCACACCCAACAAGCATTTCTCTTACCCAGAAGGGGTAGATGAAAGTTACACAACAATTTCCTGGTTCCTTCCTCATTTGGGTTAGAGTTACAAACCAAAGAACAGCTTATTTACATTTCAAAAGGTATCTCTGCCATACAAAAAAAATCCCTCAGCCGTTTCTTTGAACACTTCCCTGAAGTGATCACAGCATATTTTGACTTATATAAACCCGATTTAGACTTGACTCCTCACAAACATATCACATATATAAAATCAAGTATACCTGCCTGGTCCTGGCTTCTTTTTTCAGAATTGTTTCTGACACCTAATTCAATGCTTTCATAGGAAACTCAGGCAGCATCTCTTGTACATCAGTGGCACAATATTCTGCCAACACCACCGCCACTGCCCACATCCCTTACTACCATAAATGCTACTGTCTTCGGTCAGTCTGTCTCTCCCTAGTCCATCTCTAAATCCAAGCTGTGTTGCCTCTGCAAGAGACTCTTTGCATTCCCTCCCCTGCACCTTCTCTTACACAAACACTCAGACATACACCACTGTAAGCAGAATAGCTACTTCCATTCTTTGAAAGGGAATAGACATTCAGGTAATTCCAGGGCTTATCAGGAAGGAATGAAGCACTACCTGTTTCTGTGGCTTTTATTTCAAGCATGATTCACAGCTTAAGTATCAGGTTGGTGCAAAAGTAACTGCGGTTTTAGCATTGTTGAAATTTGCTGTTTCACACTGGAATACATTCTTAAATGAATGTGGTTATGTGATACAACATTTTAATGCATATTTCTTGCTTTATGTTTTTTTGCTAACGACGTATTACTTGGAGTTATTTATTTTAGACTATGGAAATGATGTTAGACAAAAAGCAAATTTGAGCAATTTTCTTTTTTCATTTCTTTATTTTCTTTTTTAAAATTTCAGAATATTATGGGGGTACATTTTGCTTACATATATTGCCCATGTATCGGCCAAGCCAGAGCTACAAACATGCCTATCCCCCAGCAAGTGTGCCCTGCACCCATTAGTTACAAATTTACCCAACCCTTCCAACCCCCTCCCACCTGCCCAGCACCCAACAAATATTACTTCTATGTGGCCACCTAAGTGTTCATCAGTTAGTACCAATCTGATGGTGAGTACACGTGGTGCTTGTTTTTCCATTCTCGTGATACTTCACTTAGAAGAATGGGCTCCAGCTCCAGCCAGGATAATACAAGAGGTATTATTAGTTCACCATTAGTTTTTTAGGGTTGAGAAGTATTCCATGGTATATATATAACACATTTTATTAATCCACTTATGTACTGATGGGCATTTGGGTTGCTTCCCATCTTTCCAATTGTGAACTGTGCTGCCATAGACATCCGAGTGCAGATGTCTTTACTAAGACTTTTTTTTCCTTTGGGTAGATGCCTAGTAGTGTGACTGCTGGATCAAATGTAGTTCTATTTTTAGTTCTTCGAGGTGTTTCCAAATTACTTTCCACAGAGGTTGTACTAATCTGCAGTCCCACCAGCAGTGTGTGAGTGTTCCTATCTCTCCACATTCACGCCTACACTTGTTGTTTTGGGATTTTTTGATAAAAGCCATTCTCACTGGAGTAAAGTGATATCTCCTTGTGGTTTTGATTTGCATTTCTCTGATGATTGGAGATGTTGAGCACTTCTTTATATATTTGCTGGCCATTATTCTGTCTTCTTTTGCAAAGTTTCTGTTCATGTCCTTGGACCACTTTTTAACGGGGTTGTTGGATTTTTTCTTGTTAATTTTCTTAAGTTCCATATGGATTCTAGTTATCAGCCCTTTATTGGATGCATAGCATGCAAATATTTTCTCCCATTCTGTAGGTTGTCTATTCACTCTAATGATAGTTTCCATGGCTATGCTGAAGCTTTCTAATTTGATCAGATCCCATTTATTTATTTTGCTGCTGTTGTGATTGCTTTGGGGGTCTTCTTCATAAATTCTTTGCCTAGACCAATGCCTGCGAGAGTTTTTCCAAATTTTCTTCTAGAATTCTTAAGTTTTCATATCTTAGGCTTAAGTCTGTTATCCATTGAGTTGAGAAGGGTGGATCCAGTTTTTTGAGAGTTGAGGAGGATCCAGTTTCAATCTTCTGCAGGTGGCTCTCCGACTTTCCCAGCACCATTTATTGAATAGAGATTCTTTTCCCCAGTGTTTATTTTTGTCTGCTTAATGTCAGTGTATATTTTGTTCCTGTTATCTCTAAAATTGATCACATCCTAGGCCAAAAAATAGAAATTATACCATGTATCGTGTCAGACCACAGTGGAACAAAATTAGAGATCAATTCCAACAGAAGCACTAACTCTACACACAGTCATGGAAATTAAATAATCTATTGCTGAATGACTATTGGGTCAAGGAGGAGATCCAGATGGAAATCAAGAGATTCTTCTAAATAAATGATAACGGACACAAATTATCGAGTGATTTTCTTATTTGAGCTCAAAATGGGTCGTAAAGCAGCAGAGACAACTCGCAAGATCAACAACGCATTTGGCCCAGGAACTGCTAACGAATGTGCAGTGCTGTGGTGGTTCAAGAAGTTTTACAAAGGATACAAGATCCTTGAGGATGAGGAGCACAGTGGCTGGCCATCGGAAACTGACAACGAGCAACTGAGAGCAATCATCGAAGCTGATCCTCTTACAACTACACGAGAAATTGCTGAAGAACTCAACATCGACCATTCTATGGCTGTTCAGCATTTGAAGCAAATTGGAAAGGTGAAAAAGCTTGATAAGTGGGCGCCTCATGAGCTGACTGAAAATTTTAAAAAATCATCATTTTGAAGTATCATCTTCTCTTCTGTACGCAAAAACAACAAACCATTTCTCGATCAGACTGTGCCAGGCGATGAAAAGTAGATTTTATATAGCAACCTGCGATATCAGATCAGCTCAGTGGCTGGACGGAGAAGCAGCTCCACCGCACTTCCCGAAGCCAAACTTGCACCAAAGAAAGGTCACGGTCACTGTTTGGTGGTCTGCTGCTGGTCTGATCCACTACAGCTTTCTGAATCCCAGCGAAACCATCACGTCTGAGAAGTGGGCTGCACAAATCAATGAGACGCACCAAAAACTGCAATGCCTGCAGCCACACTGGGCAACAGAAAGAGCCCAGTTCTTCTGCACAGCAACGCCCGACTGCATGTTGCCCAACCAACACTTCAGAAGTTGAACGAACTGGGCTATGAAGTTTTGGCTCATCGGCCATGTTCACCTGATCTCTGGCCAACACTTCCTCAAGCATCTGGACAATTTTTTGCAGGGAAAATGCTTCCACAACCAAGAGAATGCAGAAAATGCTTTCCAAGACTTCTTCAAATCCCAAAGCGCAGATTTTTTTAGGCTACAGAAATAAACAAACTTATTTCCCGTTGGCAAAAGTGTGATTGTAATGGTTCCTATTATGATTAATAAAGACGTGTTTGAGCCTAGTTATAATGATTTAAAATTCACGGTCTGAGATCACAATTACATTTGCACCAACCTTAATAAAAAGAATTACTCGATCTGCTAGTAAATGCTTATCGGCAGACATCAGATGCCGTGCTCTGAACTGCTCCCGCTTCTCCTGCTGAGGTTTCTCAGTGATCGCACCCTCGCTTCGCAGTGATGCACATCTAGAATGTGACCACCTCACACGCACGAAGTACAGGAGAAAAGATCGACTCCCGACAGCCAGACAGAATCCAGGTACCAAGGCTAGCTCTGGCATGTAATCACTAGTTTGGGGACCTGGAGCAAATAAATCACCTCTGTAAACACAGAATTGTTTTTAAAAAATAGGGCTAAGAAATTATCCATAAAGTCGTGATGATCAAATGAGATAATGTACATAATCACTGTCATTCTGAAGCTAATATTAAAAGCTTTCCAGGTACTATTTTCACGCAGGATTCAAAGTGCTTTCCATGTATCATCTCACTTAATAGCCATAAGATAGGCGCCACTTCCTACTGCTGTACAGATGAGAGAGAGAACACTAAAGCACGAGGAGTGCATGAAGTGGCCGCCCAGCAGTGGGTCAGTATGTAGGCTAAATTCCTTCCCAGGCCGCCTGCCGTGGACGGCTTTCATTTCTGGCACTAATTAGCAGACTCCCTCCTGCACATGCCTTACATCTCCAGAGAAAAGGTTTCTGGAAGACACTATCTTAACTTCTCTTTGTTATTCTATCATATAGCACTCAACTTGACGAAAGGTACTTTGTTTATTTCCCTCTATTTATACCAACAAATAGTACAGTATCTGACACACATCAAGAACTCAAACCAAGCAAGATGAACTTATTTCACCTAAGGAAGCAGTGCAGTTATGGCTAGACCTGTGGCAGACTGTTGACTGTTCAGCAAATTTAGTCCAGAGTACTCAGCTACGTTACATTTCTCACCCTCCCTTGCGGTCACATGCAGCCATGTGGCTGAATTCCTGCCAACGAAAAATAACTGTAAGGGATTTACGCCGGCTCCAGGCTGACTCACCATTCAAACTTCCCAAGTGTACCCCTTCGAGCTTCTACCCTGCTCCCCCACTATCTTGTGACTTGAAGGGCAACTCCCGAAGTGACCCGGAAAGCCACAGGTTGAAGATGACAGAGCCCAGGTTCCAGATAACTGCCCTGCCCCCACAGTGACCAAACACACTTGCCTTTGACTACTGTGAGCAAAACATGAACATGAATTGTGTTAGAATAAATAAATGTACGTTCTGGGGGTCTGTTACAGCTAACGGATTAATGAATAAAAAATAGTAGTCCTATTAAATGTATAAATAAATATTTGTTAAATAAACAATTAGCACATACCAGAGCTCTGGATGGTACTTACTGGCATAGTGGGGTACATTGGGGGCTGTATGAAAAAGCTTGTGGATTCCATGCCCACAGTAGCTGCGAACAACTGAAAACCCATTTGCCTGGGCGTGCTTCTGAATAATGTTTCCCAGCTCTCTGTATCGAACACCAGGTTTCACTGAAAGGAAAAGAGAAGATTCATGACAAAGAGTAATGACAACTAACATTTATTAAGCAATTACTATCTATGCGCCAGGAACCTTTCTAAACACTTTATATGCCTCTGTGCCCAAACTTATAGGTGAGGAGGCCAAGCAGACACAGAGGCCATGCAGCCAGCAAATGGCAAAGCTCTGATTCGGAGTAGGAGTACCTGCAGTTCTTCCTTTGATGGCAAAAAAAAAAAGACGACCCTTAACAGTGTTAATGGGTTGGGGACAGGCAACTTTTGCTTTCTCTAACAATAAACAATAGAATGGAAAATGTACTTTTCTTCTCATCCTTCCCTAAGGTCAAGTGTTCTATTCTATTCTGTGGAAGTAAGAGGAGGATATAAGAAAGTGTACCAGGAGAAAGAGGAATGTCCAAAAAGCAACCTGATTTATCCCAAATTTCAGTCTGGTCAACTTCTTAAAGAATTATTTCCCCTGGGATTCTTTATCTCACAAAATGATTCTCAAAAAACTATGCAGAAGATCCTTGAGGTAGGGTATATAAAAGTGCTTCTCACTATATACTTCCTGCCCTATTTCATTTTTATGACTTTTACTACCATTTCAACAAAAACCAAAGTGGTTCTCACTGCTGTTCAGGCTCTCCTAGCACTAAGGCCCTAGCAGCTGAGCACTGCCAGACTCCTGGGGAATCCAGCCATGGTTCTTGAGGCCTAGAACTTTCTATCGTCTCCTACTCTGCCTATCTGATTTCCAAACTGAGGTTCAGGTACAACATATCTTCCCCATCCATTTCTCAGTAAATAGCTCAAGGAATCGTTTTAATTAACATTTTTACTTGCTTTTTACTATATGTCCCAGCTTGATTTGGGGAGGGAGAAAGGGGTTTCTGACATGAGGAACATGCTGACTTCTAGGATTTTCTTCCATTCCTATCCAGACCTTCCTATCAGCCCATAGTGGGGGGACAATAAAATTTTAATCCATGTTGCATGGGGAGAGTGACAGGGGAGATTCTTCCCTTAACCCTCAAACTGGGGGCCACTTTGGCCGAAGGCTGCTAACCGGAGACATTCTGGTTGTCACACAGGGGGTGGTGGGGTAACTGGCACCCAGTGACCAGGGATGCAGCCAAGAATCTGACAACGCACAGGACAGGCCCCTGCAACCAAAAACTATCAGACCCAAAATGCAGTAGATGCCCAGATTAAGAAACTCTACTCTAGAAAGTTAATTTTCAACAACTTTTCAAACTCTCTAGTGTTCTACACCAGGCTGAGCAGTCCAATTAGTGGAAAACGGGGGGCAAAGATGATATACAAAGGTATTAGTAGCACTTTCCAGAGATCAAGCAACTTTGATTCTTTCCTGGCTACTGTTACAAAGATGCCACTTTCTGGTAGTTTCTTGACAAGTTCTAGTCATGTGTCTTTGTAAAACAACATTCCAGCTGTCTGCTTTTTTTTTTTTTTCAATCAAAAAGGAAAAGGATATAAACATTGAACATATTATCTAGGGAAAAAAACCCTAAAATTTATTTAAAACTTAAGCTTTCACAAATGAGAAAGATAAAATTCTTATCTCACAATCCCACCTAGCATACTAAAATAATCAATACTGGCTGCTAAAAAAATTTTACATACTGATAAATAAAAATATATTCTTTTATTTTCATTCCTCCAACTTTATTAATATAAAAACTTTATGTCCCGTGCATGTTAAATAATGAACTAAAAACAATAAAAATAATGGATCAATGTTATCAGAGATAATTACATGTTTGTCTAAAAAGTCTGTCCTGTTCAATATTCTGTTGATGATATATCAGGGTTTTCGGGGAAGGGGGGGGAATGGGAGGGTGCAGATAATACACTGAATAATAAAGTGTAAATGGCAAGGATTTAACTGGCAAGCTGTTTGCCTTTTTTATTAACAGTCTGTTAACAACTCCAAAAAGCCGTTGTTAACAGCTTTCCTTTCCTTCTCTCATCCCCACAAGACACTGATTTTTTAAAAAGCCTGTATAAGTTGTTTGTATGGACAAAGATAGATGGCCTGAGAAAAATCCCACAGAAATACTCACAACTCTACCCAACACTGAAATAGCAAGCAATCTGGAAATCACCAAAATCCAGCAGGAAAACAGGTACAGAAATTTTGATACTATGGAATAACCATTAAAAGAATGAGATACATCTATATTTATTTAGGTACATATGCTAATTTGGAAAGATCTCTAAGGTATTCGCTGGCAAAATACCAAATTGCATAATATTACAATTTCATTTAACCTAATTAAATACATATACATATGCATATATACATTAATGCACAGGAGACAGAAAAAACCTAAATGTTGACAGTTACCTCTAGACGGAAGAGAAAGATATGAAAGCAAAGGAGGAGTGGTATAAAGGAGAACCACTCACTTTTCTCTCATAATCTTCAGGTTTTTTTTTAATAAGGAGAACATGATTATTTACATATTGAAAGAATTAAAAAGCAGAGTAAAAACTGCACAAAACAACCACCCGCATACTCATTTATCAGGCAAAGAAAAGGAAGACAAGTCACAAATCAGAGACAAGGGTGACGGGCAACCATCTGGCCCATCACCATCAAGAGTCTCGAACCCACTCGAACCGTTACCACTAAAGCCCAGAGCCAGCTCGGCAGAGCAGAGGCGAAGCCGGCAGGCACAGACACGCTCAGCCCTGCAGTGATGTGTCATCCCCGGCCCGTCAGCTCACGCTGGGCCACCGGGTCCCCAGCACAGCGGCTGACCTGCATCGATGGCCTGCATCAGGCACTCGTAGGTGGTCTGCACGAGTTTCCGGGCTCCCTCATCCACGTCGCCAACAAAAAACGTCTCATTCAAGTCTCCGTGGTAACCATTGCGATAAAGAGTGATGTCCACTGCAAGAGAAATGTGCAAATATAAATACCACATTTATTTTCATTTCAAAATAGAATTCAGTTTTTCCAACATGACAGCATCAAGCAGCTTACTGAAAAAGGTAACTCCTGCATTCTCTAACTAGCCACCACAGCAAATGCTGTGGTGGCTAGTTAGAGTAAGCACCCAACAGAAACCCTGAGTTTAGTAACGTGTGAGTTTAGTATCTCTCGCCGTGGAGAACAGGACGTGGCCACACCGCACAGGCCAGATAATGGGTTTTTATACTCTTATAGTAACTAGATCATTTGAAGAAGAAAAATATATGCAGCACACAATCATCCAAGGTAAATAACCAAAGTTAGTAACATTAAATTGAGGACTGTTACATTTTGGCATTAAATGCAAAATACTATTTTCACTCATCTTTAATGAGTTTCTTCCTCCTCCTAGGAAATAGGTAAATAAAAAAATTATAACTGTATTTTAAAACCGCATTTACCATTCACTTTGTGAATATTCATCTGTCTCTTTGTCCCAATGTTTAGGAATACATCACTACTGTAACCAGTGTAACACTCTAAATGTGTATCGAGAGAGCACAAGAAAAGAGTATTTTTAAGCCACAAATTTCAATCACCCCACAAAATGGAAGTATAGGTGTTTTGCATCTAGCGCAACAGATATATTCCTTAAAAACCCGAGACATTGTGCATGTAATAAAAATAACAAGGTTTATATGAAAAACAGGGTTGCTCTGAAAACCTATGGAACTTTATAAACAGATACCCTAACTAAAGCAGTAATAATTGTAATAAAAATAGTTTCACAGTTACATCTCCACTATCATTCACAGCCAGCATCACAACTGGTCAATTCTCTGCAGCCTTATATAAGTCCTTTAAAGTATCTGATTGCTAAAGAGACTGATTTTATCAATACTAAAAACTCCACCTGGGGAGGCCTTCTTCATCAATATTGTTTTTAATCATGGAGGGCGATGTTTCTGCAGCTTCTCCCTCCACACTTGAGCCTTCCCAACCAGCCTAACACAGGGGTCTCTAAAGCCACTTCTACTCAAAAAAGGCACTTCTGCCGGATTTTCAGGATTTTCAGTTTTCTTAAGGTCTTCCAATATTACTAAGGGTTACCCTTGTGTGTGAAAAAGCCTGCCCTGATCGCCTCAACACCATTAGTGGGCTTCAAAAAAAAAAAAACACCACACACTAGACTCAACATCACTTCCACATTTCATTGACATCTTTCACCTATTTCCCAACCACATATGAGATAATAAGCATTACAGAAACACAAGCTGTACCAAACACATCATAATAGAAGTACCTTAAAAGCAACCAACAAGCACAAAACCATAAAGACAAAGATTCTATAGATTTTAGAGTGACACTGAATTTTAAATAGGAAAAGTCTCAGCACAGGAAGCAAGTTGAAATAAACACAAGTCACTAACAGACTACCCCAAACCTTGTTGTTTCTTTGCTCTTGGTGACAAAAGTCACTTACATATTTCTTACCATTAACGATATCACCTTCTTGCAAGGGCCGTCTGTCTGGGATTCCATGGCAGATGACTTCATTTACTGAGGTACAACAAGACTTTGGGAAATTATAATAATTCAGGGGAGAAGGGTAGCAATTTCTTCCAATGCATGCCTATAATAAATTAAAACACAGAGAAAATAATTTGGAATGTACAAAAGGAAAAAATCTATATACAATGAATAAATTGAAAAAATGTGAAAGAAGCTGAAGACATGCTACCATAAAGAACTTAATTAATATTTTATTTTATTACCTTAAACATTACACAATACGGTTTGTGCCAGTCAGACAGACTGTATGCAAACCAACTTACTGGTAATTCCACCAAGGAAGAGCAAACTCACATCAGGTTGAGTATTACTAACCTGAGAATCCAAAATGCTCCAAAATCTGAAGCTTTTGAGCACCAACAGGACATTCAAAGGAAATGTTCATTAGAGCATTTTGGATTTCAAATTTTCAGGTTACAGATGCTTAACAGGTTAAGCATAATTCAAATCTTCCAATATCCAAATAAATCTGAAATCTGAAACACTTCTAGTACCAAGTATTTCAAATAAGGAATACTCAACTCGTATTATAAACATACAAATGTTACTTTAGAATTAACCACTCCTTATAAAAAATATGTTATTTGAAGTAAACAGACAATATTTAAAGTAAATATTAACAAGCATTTTGCTGTAATTATAATAATTTCTAATAGAGAAACAATCTTATATTCCTAGGACCAAAAAGTGAATACTAGTATAATTAAGAAATGGCGAAGTACTTCCAGAGATACTTTAATCACTACATTCAGTGAAACAAAAATGAAATTCTTAGAGAAAAAATGGTCTGGTTTCCATAATAAGCCTTATTTTACTTGGATGTTCTCACACAGTGGTAATCACAGCATGCAGATTTCTCATTCTATAATGCCACAGTTTTCAGGCTGGTAATTTTGTAATGGTTACATAAAATACCATTTGTGAAATATACCATAATTATACTACTAGCAATTATACTACCAGCATAATTATACTACTATTACTAGAAATCTAAATTAATGTGAAGTTTCCTCAATTACAAAAAAATAAATAAATAAAGCCTACGACTAATAACCACACATCCTGTCGGGCAGAGCAAGATGGCGGACGAGAAACACCGCCAGACAGAGTGTCTCTGCAAAAAAGACAGTCTCTAGAAGAAATTAGAAGAAGCAAGCAGAGGAGCATACATCCTACGAGGGTAAGAAGGAGGGTACCTGAGACCACGGGAGACTCCACAGGAGGAGGTAGCAGAGGAGAACTAGAAGCAGAGACCTCTCAAGAAGCTTGGAGACCAGCAGCAAGGATAGGTGGCTCGGTTAACTTTCCCCTCCCCTGCATCTGGGACTGCTGGTGGGCTCCCCAGCGGGTGGAGAGACCTGCGGACACCAGCCCAGAGACGGCCGCTGCCAGCTAGCAGTGAGCCTGTAGCAGACGTGGCACCAGGCTCCCAACTCCTGCAGGCACCTCCGTGTGCACAGACCCGAGCCGCGGGGCAGGCGCCATATTGCCTCCTTCTCCCCTCCCCCCGCCCTATCCTCAGCTGCCCAGAGAGACAATACAGCCACCAGCCGGAGGCACCTCCAGGGAAGAGACCTTCCCTTTTGGGGCCCTACAACTGACTGAGGGGTACTCAGACTGTGAGCTCCCTACCCGTCAGCCCTCCCAGGTGCTGCTGGCATGGTGATCCCAGGAGAACGGGGCAGACCCTGAGGCTGAGACATCAACCCAGCTTGGGCTCCCCGTGGGTGAATTGGGACTGGCACTCCTCTCCCTGGTGGGGATAGGGATTGAACTCCAGGGCCCAGAGGTCAGACCTGCAGACCAGATCCCATGCACCGAGGTCTCCCACTGCCCTGGGTACAAAAGGAATATTCGTGAACAGCCTACTGAGGTATGTGTGCCTTCAGGGGCAGATCAGCGTCCTAAGAGGGCAACCCTCCCCCCAAAGGCAGGTGTGTGCCCAGCCCAGGCAGCAACCCTGCGCAGGGAACCTCCTGGCCTGCATCACAGCCAGGGGAGGCCCAGTGGCGTGAGGTCTGGACTGCTGGCAGAGGCCCAGGAGGAGCTGCGGAGTTGGGGAGGGTGGAAAGAAGCAAGGCCTGCTCCAGACTGCGGGTCTCAGACAGCCCCACCCCACACGCAGACTCAGACAGCCCCACCCCAACAGGCAGACTTTCTGGCTGAGCGGGGCCATTCCAGCCCCTCCCCGACAGCTTTTCCCAGAAGCAGAGAACAGAACTTTGACCCCAGCTAATGACATTGGTGGTGCCTGAGGGCAGGCTTACCCAACCCAGCTCTGCCCAGACTCTCTCCTAGACCAGTCCTCACTGAGGGGAAGAAAAGGACACACCTGGAAGTCCCAGGGCCCCACCCACCACCTGAGGCACTAGAGTTCTCTCTAGAAGAACAAGAGCTGGTTACAGGACACAAAAAAAACAGTGTAGCCTGTTCCTCTCAGCAAGCGCCACCTACTGACAGGGAGGACATTCTGCACACCCTTTTCACGGCACCTACTGACTCATCATACACGGTGTGGTCGAATCTCACTTACAAACACCACCTATTGGCTCAGAGACTAAACAGGGTATGTCAATACTCAAACGAAAACCTAAAGGAAAGAAGTAACAACTGATCCAGATGGGAAGAAATCAGCAAAGGAACTCTGGAAATATGAAAACTCAAACAGAAAGCACACCCCCAAAGAGGAACACCAGCCCATTAGAAATAGACACCAATCAAAATCAGACCACTAAAATGACAGAAGAAGAATTTCGAGCATGGATCCTAAGAAAATTCAATGAGTTGCAAGAAAAACTGGATAATCAACACAAAGAAAATACAAAAACACTTCAGGATCTGGAACAAAAATTCACTAAAGAAATTGAAACAATGAATAAAAGCCTAACCGAACTCCTGGAAATGAAGAATCCTTCCGATTAAATAAATCAGTCACAGAGATAGAGCAGAGAAACAAGAGAAAAGAGCAAAGCCTATAAGATATGTGGGATTATGTGAAGAAACCTAATGTGAGGGTTCTAGGGTTACCCAAAGGGGAAGAAGAAAACACTCAAGGGTTGGATAAGCTATTTGAAGATATAATAAAGGAAAATTTCCCAGGCCTTAGTAAAAATCTTGATATACAAGTTCAAGAAGCTCAGAGGACCCCTGGGAGATTCAATGCAAACAGGAAGACATCACGACATGCAGTCATCAGACTGACCAAAGTATCAACTAAAGAGGCCCTTCTACGAGCTCTAAGGTGAAAGAAGCAAGTCACACACAAAGGAAAGCCAATCCAAATAACACCAGACTTCTCTATTGAAACTTTACAAGCAAGGAGAGACTGGGGCCCCATTCTCACTCTTCTGAAACAGAACAATGCCCAGCCTAGAATCTTATTCCCTGAAAAACTAAGTTTTGTATACGAAGGAGAAACAAAGACATTCTCGGATAAGCAAAGACTGAGGGAATTCACCAAGACAAGACCAGCCCTTCAGGAAGTACTCAAAACAGTGTTACCCACAGATCAGCAAAATAAACACTCACAAATGTAAATCTACTCAAAAGCTAAAGATCAAAGCCCAGAAACCACAATGGCTCAAGAGAGAAAACAAGCAACAAAGTTCAACCCAACATAATGAACAGAAATCTGCCCCACCTATCAGTTATCTCAATAAATGTGAATGGCTTGAACTCCCCACTCAAGAGACATAGGCTGGCCGAATGGATAAAAAAATACAAACCAAGTGTCTGCTGCCTTCAGGAAACACATCTAACCTGCAAGGATGCATATAGACTAAAGGTAAAGGGGTGGAGAACAATATTTCAAGCAAAGGGAAGTCAAAAGAAAGCTGGCATGGAGGTACTGATTACAGATAACTTAGTTTTTAAATCAACAAAAGTAATAAACGACAAAGAAGGTCACTACATAATGGTGAAGGGTACAGTTCAACAAGAAGACATAACAATTCTAAATATATATGCACCCAACCTAGGTGCACCCAGATTAATAAAGCAAACTCTACTTGATCTAAACAACAACATCATAATAGTCAGAGACTTTAACACCCCACTGACAGCACGGGACAGATCCTCCAAACAAAAAATGAACAAAGAAATAATGGACTTAAGCAGAAATCTAGAACAAATGGGCCTGACTGACATTTACAGGACATTCTACCCCCAAACCACTAAATGCATGTTCTTCTAATCAGCTCATGGGTCATTCTCTAAGATTGACCATATTGTAGGACACAAAGCATATCTCAAAGAATTTTACAAAATAGAAAGCATACCATGTATCTTTTCAGATCACAATGGAATAGAAGTAGAAATCAACCCCAACAGGAATTCTCATTTCTACACAAAGTCATGGAAACTAAACAACCTTCTGCTGAATGATCACTTCATAAATGAGGAAATCAAGATAAAAATCAAAAGATTCTTTGAACTAAATGACAAAGGAGATACAAGTTATCAAAACCTGTGGGACACAGCTAAAGCAGTCCTGAGAGGAAAGTTCATTTCCATAAATGCCTATATCAAAAAGTCGAAAAGATTACAAATAGACAACCCAATGAATCGTCTCAAATTTGTAGAAAAAGAAGAACAGACCAACCCCAAACCCAGCAGAAGTGAAATCATTAAGATCAAATCAAGGCCAGGCGGGGTGGCTCAAGCCTGTAATCTGAGCACTCTGGGAGGCCGAGACGGGTGGATTGTTTGAGCTCAGGAGTTCGAGACCAGCCTGAGCAAGAGCAAGACCCGTCTCTACTATAAACAGAAAGAAGTTAATTGGACAGCTAAAACTATACAGAAAAAATTAGCCGGGCATGGTGGTGCATGCCTATAGTCCCAGGTACTCAGGAGGCTGAGGCAGAAGGATCGCTTGAGCCCAGGAGTTTGAGGTTGCTGTGAGCTAGGTTGATGCCACAGCACTCTAGCCCAGGCAACAGAGTGAGACTCTGCCTCAAAAAAAACAAAAGATCAAATCAGAATCAAACAAAATTGACAACAGGGAAACCATATGGAAGATTACCAAAACAAAAAGTTGGTTCTTTGAAAAAAATAAACAAAATTGAAACACCTTTGCCTAGACTAACAAAAAGCAAAAAACAAAAATCTCTAATAAGTTTCATCAGGAACAATAAAGGAGAAATTACAATGGATGCCATGTAGATACAAGATATAATTCATGAATACTACAAAAACCTCTATGTACACAAACTGGAAAATGTGGAGGAAATGGACAATTTCTTAGAAACACACAGCCTCCTTAGGCTCAACCAGGAAGAAATAGAATTCCTGAACAGACGAATATCAAGTACTGAAATTGAAACAGCAATAAAAAACCTTCCTAAAAAGAAAAGTCCTGGACCAGATGGTTTCACACCCAAATTTTACCATACCTACAAGAAAGAACTGGTGCCTATCCTGCAGAAATTATTCTACAACATCGAGAAGGATGGAATCCTCCCCAACACATTTTATGAAGCAAACATAACCCTTATACCAAAACCAGGAAAGGATGCAACAAAAAAAGAAAACTATAGACCAATATCCCTTATGAATATAGATGCAAAAATTCTAAACAAAATCCTAGCCAATCCAGGTGCTTGTCAAGAAAATAATTCATCACAACCAAGTGGGCTTCATCCCAGGGATGCAGGGATAGTTCAACATATGCAAATCTATAAATGTAATTCACCATATAAACACGAGCAAAAACAAAGACCATATGATCCTCTCAATAGATGCAGAGAAAGCATTTGACAAAATTCAACACCCTTTTATGATAAGAATGCTCAACAAAATAGGCAGATGGGGCTTACCTAAAAATGATACAAGCCATATATGACAAACCCACAGCCAGTATCATACTGAATGGGGAAAAATTGAAAGCATTCCCACTTAGAACTGGAACAAGACAAGGCTGCCCGCTATCTCCACTTCTACTGAACATAGTGCTGGAAGTCCTTGCTATAGCAATCAAATAAGAAAGCAAAATTAAGGGCATCCAAATAGGGGCAGAAGACATAAAATTCTCACTCTTTGCTGATGATATGATATTATATCTAGAAAACCCCAAGGATTCAACCAGGAGACTCCTTGAATTGACAAATGAATTCAGTAAAGTCTCAGGATACAAAATCAATACACACAAATCAGAGGCATTCATATATGCCAGTAACAGTAAAAGTGAGAACCAAATCAAAGACTCAATTCCCTTCAAAACAGCAACAAAGAAAATAAAGTACCTTGGAACATATTTAACTAAGGAGATAAAAGACCTCTACAGGGAGAACTATGAAACACTGAAGAAGGAAATAGCAGAGGACGTAAACAGATAAAAGAAAATACCACGCTCATGGGGCGGCAGAATCAACATTGTTAAAATGTCTATACTACCCAAAGTGACCTACAGAGTCAACGCAATCCCTATCAAAATACCATCATCATTTTTCACAGACATAGAAAAAATAATTTTACGCTTCATATGGAATCAGAGAAGACCCCGTATAGCAAAAGCAATCCTAGGCAATAAAAACAAAATGGGAGGTATCAATTTACCAGACCTCAAACTATACTACAAGGCAATACCTTGGTACTGGCATAAGAACAGGGACATTGACCAGTGGACCAGAACAGAAAACCATCATCATATAGCCAACTAATCTTTGACAAAGCAGACAAAAACATACACTGGGGAAAAGAATCCTTATTCAATAAATGGTGCTGGGAAAACTGGATAGCCACATGTAGAAGACTGAAAAAAGACCCGCACCTTTCACCTCTCACAAAAATCAACTCAGGCTGGGTAAAAGACTTTAACCTTAGATGTGAAACTATTAGAATTCTAGAGGAAAACGTTGGAAATACTCTTCTAGACACTGGCCTAGGCAAAGAATTTATCAAGAAGACCCCAAAAGCAATCACAACAGCAACAAAAATAAACAAATGGGACCTGATCAAATTAAAAAGCTTCTGCACAGCCAAAGAAACTGTCAATAGAGCAGACAACCCACAGAATGGGAGAAAATATTCGCAAACCACACATTCAATAAAGGCCTGATAACTAGAATCCATTTAGAGCTCAGGAAAATCAGCAAGAAAAAATCAAACAACCCCATTAAAAAATGGACAAAGGACATGAACAGAAACTTTTCAAAAGAAGACACAATAATGGCCAACAAACATGAAAAAATGCTCAACATCTCTAATCATCAGGGAAATGTAAATCAAAACCACAATGAGATATCACTTAACTCCAGCGAGAATGGCCTTTATCAAAAAGTCCCCAAACAATAAATGCTGAGATGGATGAGGAGAGAGAGGAACACTCCTACACTGCTGGTGGGACTGCAAACTAGTTCAACCTCTCTGGAAAGCAATATGGAGATACCTCAAAGTGATACAAGTAGATCTATCATTTGATCCAACAATTCCACTACTGGGCATCTACCCAAACGATCAAACGTCACTTTATGAAAAAGACACCTTCACTCGAATGTTTACAGCAGCACAATTCAAAATTGCAAAGCTGTGGAAACAACCCAAGTGCCCATCAATTCATGAGTGGATTAATAAAATGTGGTATATGTATACCATGGAGTACTATTCAGCTATAAGAAACAATGGTGATATAGCACCTCTTGTATATTCCTGGATAGAGCTGGAACCCATTCTACTAAGTGAAGTATCTCAAGGATAGAAAAACAAGCACCACATGTACTCACCAGGAAACTGGTATTAACGGATCAACACCTAAGTGGACATATAGGAATAACATTTATCGGGTGTCGGGCAGGTGGGAGGGGGGGGATGGGTATATACAACCACAAAGAGTAAGATGTGCAACGTTTGGGGGATGGACACGCTTGAAAGCTCTTACTCGAGGGGGGAGAGGGGACATGGGCAATATATGTAACCTTAATACGTGTACCCCCATAATACGCTAAAATAAAAAAAAATACAAAAAAATAACTACACATCCTGTGGCTTTTCCCTTATTTAGGGGGAAACTTCTATACTTCTTATAGTAGTACAAAGAATAGCTGAGAGCATATAGAATCAGACTATCTTGATTGAAAGTGCCAACTCCATCACTTACAAGTTGTCCAACTTTGGAGAATTTAATCTCTTTCTTCCTCGGTTTCCTTATCTACAAAATAGAGATAACAGGACCTCCCTCTAGAAGTCATTAGGGAGACTAAATGACTAAAGCACTAGACTAAAAAAGCACTTAAAAGACTAAAAAAGCACTTAAAATAGTACCTGGCTCCCAGAAAGCACTCAAAATACTATTACTGCAAGCTCTGCATTTATACTAACATATGGAACAATATCTCCAAATCAGGATTTATAAAATTCTGAATAAAAAAATGTATAAACATTTCCATAGCTCAAGACACACTGTCAAATTCTTTCAAAAGGATTGCCCCAATTTACAATACCACCACCAAGCAAAAGATTACCAGTACCAGGACATAAACATCTTTAAAAATACTTACTAATTTACTAGGTCTTTATAATTTGCATTTGTTGGATTGCCAGAACAAGTCTGGTCCATTATCCATGTGTTGTGCTGACTAGTCATTATTCTTTTGTGAACAATCTGTTCCTATGTGTGCCCTCATGTACTAAAGTCTTATGGTTTCTCTTTGATGGACAAGCAATCTTTATATTTTAAAAAAACACATATCACATTTATTATAAATATTTATCTAGACTATTTATTACCCTGTTACAGTGGATATGAAAGGGAATATTTCTTTCTACTAATCTAGCTTCAGAAGTCACAGTCTTTTATTTCAGAATATTTAATGTATGTAGTGGCATGATTTAATTAAAGCACTGATAAAATTTATCTTACAAAAGCTGAAATGAAATGCTTATAAAATGTGAGCTTTCAGAACAAAGCTGTTTCAAGCTCACCTCAGACCTTACTATTACAGATACTTAAAGATGAGAATAAAGACTACTGAATGTTTTCCATGGTTGAAACAAAGCAAAAACTTACATTCAAGTTAGCTCAATCAGGTTACTTGAGACATTCTTAAATTTCCTTAATTTTGCAATCTAAAACATTAATAATATGAAATTTTTTTTCAAAGTAAAAAAGTGAAGTTCTTACTAAGTGTACAGCATGATCTATTTCTTCAGTAGTTACACCTGGTTTAATCATCCCAGCAGCAATATCCAAAACTTCTCTAGCAAGCTGTAAAAAAGGAATACTTAATATATTCAAAAGAAATGAAATACAAACAGAAATGTGTACCTTCTGGACTGTCTTAGATTTTGTGGGAGATTAGTAAAATGACTCTTCCTTGAAGATTATAATTTTATAAGATATATAAACTATATAATATATAAATACATAAAATATAATTATATAAATTTTATATAATAATTAGCTAACTAACAAATAGCTTAATAAGTAAGCTTAACTGATTTCTATATGAAAATGTACATCCTCAGCAATCTAAACAACAATCAATTGTGGACACTGAGTCTTCACATTTCTATAATGGGGTAGGGTGGGAGGAAATAAAAGAATAAGTGAATGAATATCCTCAAAGAACCAGATCAAATAAGTGAAAGTAATATAAAATTTTCTACATGACCAAAGAAAGTAAATATCAAAGGGGGAGGGGGGCATAGGCAATATAAGTAACCTTAACACTTGTACCCCCATAATACGCTAAAATAAAAAATTTAAAAAAAGAAAATAAATATCAAATCACTTTTAAAGCACTGCATAAAAATCTTAAAAATCACATCTAAATGAAGAGTATCAATATATCAATTATTTTTCTTTAGAAAAATAGAAATTCATGAGTTCATCTGTTAAAGTACAACCACTACTACCATATATTATAGGTACTTCACAACAGGACCTTTAGTGTTATCTCTATAAACCTTAAACTTTGTCCTATGTTATGACAATTTGAGGAAAAAAATGACAAAGTATCATAAAAGCCTGGTTCTTAAAAAAAATAAAATACAAGGGCTAAAAGAAAATGATTGTCATCTAAATATATATTACCTACCAAATTAATTTTCAAAGAGGCTATTTAAGTATTAATGAACTATTGGCTAAAATTATATTCTAACAATAGTTGAATGAAAAATAAGTATGGCTAGTCATACATAGTCTTACAATGTAACATTTAATACCTTTATCAATCAGCAAATCACTAAGTACTACTTGAACAAGTACTACTCCATGGGGGGGGGGAGCTCTTACCCTACATACAAGTCTCATCCCTTCTATATCTTCAGATGAGAGTAATTTAATTTGCGAAGTACCTTTAAGAGCCTGTTCAGATTCAGACATTCCTGGAATAGAAAATTGGTAAGTAAAACTAAAAATTAGAATGGAAAGGTGTATTTATTAGCATAATTATATCCCTGATGACATAATAATAGTCAAGTCTCACTGTTTCACACAATGGTTATTTCATAATCTAGTAGGATCCAGGTTAGATTATTTTTAAAATATTTTCAACATGAAAAGAAAATGTGCTAAACAAATTGGAGAAAAAATTCTAAAGAACAAATTTCAGATCTATTAGAAATTAGTCAATATTTATGGACTACTTATTATATGCCAGGCAATATGCTAATAAGTTTAGTAAATAAATCATATTTGAACAGTACCATATAACTGACAAATTGCTTTCACAGTCATCATGTCATGAAGCAACTTTACAGCAACAAATGATTAGTCAATTATACTATTTTTTGAAACAGAAACCTAAGTCAATGTCCTTTGAACTGCAGTTTGTGACCTTTTGGTGGGCTATAACTATAACGTTTTTCAAAAAGTAAATAAATGAAATAGAAAACAATAGACTGTATCATATATAGAATAAGTGCTGCTGTGAAAAGTTTGTTAATTTATATATACATGCACATATGAAGATCATGTTATAAAATCCATTTCTCACTCTAGGTCATAGTAAAAAAAAGTTTAAAAAATACTACCCTAATAACCTTCACTAATAAAATTTGTTAATTCAAATTTTACACGAATTTAAAAGTAATAAAGCCAGTATAGTAATTATTTCAAAATCTTACAAAAATAACAGACTCACCAACTAATCCTGTTTGTAAGTAGTAATGGCCAAATGAAATATTAACAAACAGAATCCAATAAACACATAATACACCATGAGTTAAGTGAAATTCATACCAAGAAGGCAGGAATAGTTCGATATCAGCAAATCTATTTATCTAACTCAAGACAGTCATAAATCCTTCCTTCCTTAAGGAAGGAAAAACAAATAAACAATCATCGAAAAAGAAAGATAATACTGATAACATGACCAGCTACCACCTTAAGATGATAAATATTAATACAAATCTCAAACCAAGAACCAACATCACAGAATGTCCACTATCAGCCCTATTATTTAACAATGTTCTGGCAATACTACTAGCACATGCAATTAAATAAGAGAAAGAAATAAGATGTATAAAATTAAAAAGGAAAAGACAAAATTCTTATCAATTTCAGGTATGGTTATACACCCCTAGAACAAAAGAATCATCTGGTAAAAAACTAGAAGAATTCAGCAAGTCAGCAGATTATAAGGCAAATATAACAAAATAAATAACTTTCTCATATACATATAATGAGCTAAAAAATACAGAAGATACTAATCACAAAAATAACTAAAAAGAAGGTACTCAGGAATAAACTTAACAATAAAAGACATATATGAAGAAAAGCTAAGACCACTACTTAAAGACATAAAAAGAGACTTAAATAAGATAGAAAAACATACCCTGTTCTTGGATAGGAAGACTCAATATTGTAAAGGTGCCAATTCTTCCAAAATTAATCTATAAATTTAATACTATCCCAATAAAAAATGCCAACAGGAAAATTTTGGTACCCAGACAAGCTGATTCTAAATTTCACATGGAAAAACAAACATGCAAGAATAGCCAGGAAAATTCTGAAAAAGAGGAAAGGTGGGGGCAAACAAGGCCTACCAAATATTAAAACATTGTATAGCTATAATAGTTTGGCAATGGCACATGATTAGACAAATGGGCTAATGAAACAGAACAGAATCCAAAACTAAACCCAAAGAAATATGAGAATGTAACATAATGACATAGGTTGCATTTTGAATCACAAGGAAAAGATTGATTTTTTAAATAACCAGTGATGTGATAATCAGGTATTCTTCTAAGAAAAAAATTAAGTGGCATCCCTATTTAACTCCCAATACATAAGCTTCAGCTAGATCACAAATTTTTATCATATACACAGAAAGACTGAACCCATAAAAATAATGAAAAAGAACACAGGAAAATAATTTTATAACTTCTTAAACCAGAAACATTCTTCTAAGTCATAAAACCGTACACACCTTAAAAAGAAAACACTGATAAATTTTTATAATAACAAAACATAAATGGTCAATTGGGAAAAAACATTTTTAACACATACATCAAAGGATCATTTTCCTTAATATAGAAAGAACATTTACAAATTAATATGGGAAAAATTAGTAACCTAACAGGAGAAAAAAAGGTGAAGGATATGAATAGCAATTCAAAAGGGAAAAAAAACCACAAATGACTTTTAACATATATAAGGATGCTCAACCTTAACCATAATTTTAAAATGCAAATTAAAATAACAGCAAAACACCATTTTTCATCTTTCAGATTAGCAAAGATCATAAAGCTTGATAACACACTATGTTTGGACAAATACAGGAGAAAAGAGATTGTCATATGTTTTTAATGGAAGTAACAATTGGCAAAAATCACTGAAATCTGTAGTAACTCTAAAAATCAAAAATGTATGTTATCTTTTGATTCACCTATTTTACTTAAAGTTATTAACCTACAAAAATACTCTCACACACAGATAAAGATGTAAATACAAAAACAGTTACTGCAAACTGGTAGAAGCAAAAACCTGGATCTAAACATCCATTAGTAGGCGTCTAGTTTAATAAATTATGATACATCTACACAATGAAATACTTCAGTCACTAAAAAGAAAGCGTTTGTTTTATATGGGCTTATACGGAATATTTCCAAGACATATTAAGAGAACACAGCAAGGTGTGTATAGTTTGTTCTCTTAGTGTTATAAATGCGGGGGGGGGGTGGGTGGAGGGGAGGTGGCACTCTAATGTGTTTACATACTAGAATAGCTCTTTAAAGTTCTACAAGAAACTGGTAGAGTAGTGGTTACCTCTGAGGAGGAGGATTAACTTTTCACTGCGTAACACTTTATTCTATTAGAATTTACCTTGTTTATGTAGATTTTTAAAAAATACAATATCATACTTAAGAATATTAAATAGAGTAATAATATTATACACCCTTAAGAGTCTTCTATCATTCAGATTGTCTTTTCCTTCAATTTACCTGTAATAGTGGCGTTTAACTAAATTTTTAAATTATACCCATAAGAACTTAATAAAGCTCTCCACTTCTTAGACAAAGCAAAGGTAGCCTAGCTTCCTGAATTAAACCCCATGAAACTGCTGATACTCAACCATTTTTGACAGCAAAATCAGTAATTTCAGATAGTCTAATTTGAATTATGTGTACAAGCCCTAAGGTCAGAGACTACTCCATTGACGTGGTTTGCAAATCACCTATCTTCTCTGGATGTCTCACTATTATCATCTATAAAATGGATAAGACAAAAGAACCTACCTCAGGAGTGTTAAAAGTGTTAAATGGAGTAAACACATGGCAAAGAACTTAGCACAGTGCCTGACACATAGGCACTTTTAAGCAAAAACAAATACCAGTTACTGTTACAGAATCACCATCATCACACTATCATTATCACTACCATTATTACTATTTCTACTACTGTTATAGTCCAAAGTCTTTAGGTAGGCATTTACTCAGGCTTTTATAACCTACTTTTATCTAAACAGATGATGTTTAGATAGTAGGAGGACATGTTAAAAATCAAAACTGTTTTAAATCTGGAAGTTGTGTAACAACACAAATACAGTATTATTTTTTAATGCAGTGCTTAACAGCTACATAAACAATATTTTCAGAACTGGGTAGATTTCTGATGAGGGGAAAGAATTTTTAATTCCCTTAAATGTTCAGACACGCTTGAAAACACAAAGTTTACATTTATTAGAAGTTCACCACTAAAAGATTTCTATAAGAAAAGCAATCCTTCCTTTTGCAATAATCATCAAGCCACAAATGGAAAAATGAAGAATCAGAATAGCAGAACTTACCTAAGGGATGATCAGCATAATCTGGTCTTTGAATATAACTTGGCACTGGCCTTGTTGGCATCTGAAAACATCAAAGAGGCTAGTCAAAACTGATTTACTAGAATGAATGAATTAATGAGAAAAATTGAGGAAAAAACACTAAAAAAGTTCATTCAGAAGTTTTTGAATGAAAAAAGTTTTAAATGACAATTTATCTATTAAGATATCTATTTCACTAATATTAAGCTCTCTTAGTGTTAATGCCAACCCTTTCTTAGGATATTTAATGAAAGGGAAAGTGGTCAAGGCCACCAAGGATTTAAGAGTAGTAGATACAGACTACAAGCTGTCCATGTTGTTCCAAACTGGCAAGCTAACACAATAAAATGTCTCAAAGTAACTATATACCAACATGTTCCTAGTTATTACCTCTGGAAGGTAGGATTAAGGAGACTATGTTTTTTATATTTTTCCAAATTTTTAAAATTCAAAATATATTCCCTTTGTTAAAAGAAAATCATCAATAAAGAGAATTTAAATATTTAAGGATGACAAATAGATTTCAACTTGAGTGAATACCTAAGTTAAAACTGAGACTTCCATCTGCCAAGAACATAGGAAGGGAAAAAAGTGCAGAAAAGCCCTATCTAAATCAAGGTAGAAATACATCACAATAAAAAAACTTTAGAGAAGTGTAACACATTCAGTCCTCCGTATCTGCAGGTTCTGCACCCTGGATTCCATCAACTGTGGATGGAAAATATTTATCTACAGTTGGCTGAGTCCACTGATGCAGAATCCACAGATGCACAACTGGTGGTACCAAGGCTGACCTTAAGGAACTTGAGCATCATTAGATTTTAGTTTCCGCACAGGGGTGGGGGACTGGGTAGGGGTGTACCAAGAAACAACTGTATACACCACCATCATGATGGTCACAAAATAGCTATTCCACCTTACCCTATACTTTTTAAAAATTAAAAAAGTTTTAGTCTTTCATTTAAAATTTTTTCCAATTCTTCCATGATTGCCAGTTATTCCTATAAGCTCCCAAATAATACACCATAAGAACTGAAGAGCCAGAATGCAAGTTCCTTTGCAAACTTAATCCTAATTATATAATTTACAAGTATCATTTTTAGGGAACTGAAAATTGTACTGTTAAATTCTTATTACCTTATTTACTCACCAGGGGATAATGCGGTCTGAGTTTACCAGTATACCGATAACCCGCCCACGGGTCAGTGTTAATATCACCTTCTACCGTCCAGGAAGACACTTCTCTCTTTGCCTTTTCATCTTCTGTGAGACAGATGGATAGATGGGAGAGGGAGAGGGAGAGAAAGGAATGTTTCAGTGGTCAAGCTACTGAGCAGCAGGATACTTTAACTAACCTGAGTTAAATCCAAGCCCAAGACCCCAGGCACAAAAATCCAGCAAACTTGCCCTCTAACATAAATCACCAAAGCTATTAATTTACTGCCATATTCACAATGTTTGTAGCTCCTTTTAGATCTAAGTGTCTTGGAAGAAAAACATATCTAAACATACTCTGTCTAAACATATTCTGTGTTTTTATATAATATCAAACAGGAACAGCTCACAGACTGCTTTTCTCAAGTAAATGCTAAATGCATTCTCGCTACAGTGTCAGCTTATAAGCCCATTTTAAAATATGAAATATAAGCCCTAGCAAAACCTTCCCAACTGAGATCAGATGTTACAAACCAATTGTATTCTTACTAGAAAAACAGATCCTAAGTAATCCCAAAAGAAATTTAAAATAAAAAATAATTCTTATCCACCTAGCTGATGAATGGCTTTCAAGTCATTATTTCAATTATGAGCAGCATTTGCCTCTTTTCAGAAAGGGGTGATAGAAGGAGGCAGGAAAAATGCAAAGACGAGGGGAGGAAATAATCTGTTGAAAGTTACTGAATACTCAGTAGGGAAATTAATAATCACACATACACATTCATTTTAGTTATTAATATATGTTATTTTACTAAAATGCACCTAAGAATCCTATGCTCACAGAACAGATCCTCTATGGTGTCTGATGCCAGCACACTGAACACATTTCTTATCCACAAAGTACTAACTTTCACTAAAATTAAAGTATTAACTTAAGACTTTAAATAGCAGGAATTCAAGTCGCTCCCAGACCAAGTATTGCCCTAGACACCTCCCAATGCATACAGATCTTTTCCTGATTACTGTCGTGTTATCATAGGTTTTATTTTCCTGATCTAGGAATACTGCTGAGATATAGGTTTTAAAAGTCAGACTTCAAACTAATTTTAGAAGTGAATGAGGAAAACAAAACTGCCTCCTTAAACAATGTATTTAAGATACAAAATGAGAGAAAGCAGATGCAATCATATAATGTTAAGCTACAGAGACTCTTAATGACAATCTAAGCTAACTTCCTTATCTTACAGAAGAGGAAACTGAGGCAATGGGCAGTGTTACAAGAATGCCAGTTCCCAATCCAGTGCTCCCTCCTCAGAGCATGTGGCCAACTTTGGATGGAAAAGCCCCGAGGTACAACTGACAAGAACACAAAGAGACAGAAAATCCATTCACATTACTTTGGAGGAGAATACATGTATACTATTACATATAGGAGAGGAATAGAAGAGAAGGTATGCTACTGAAGTTTAAATATCTTTCTCCCCTCTGGAGTTCAAGAAAGCCACTATGAATTTTAACATTAATAGGAAAACTGTTTCTCATCACAGGACAAAAATGGACTCCATTCATCACCACTAGGGTCAAACATAACAGAAAAGAGTTTGAAATGGAGGCCACCTGAGCCTGCGTCAGCTATGAATTGCATTAAGTGATTTTGTCTGAAACATGAACCTCAAGGATAATTTTCTCCTAAAACCGAGGACAGAATAGCAATCAAGATGCAAGCTTTTTGCTTTAACACACTGCTGGGGAAGGGAGCAGGAAAGGGTACAAAATCTTTCAAGGCTTCCTAATAATGATCTGAATTTCTACCTGTCCACAATCTATATTCAAAAGAGAATGGAAAATAGACAAGTATTCTAAAATAGCTCAAAAGCTATCTTGACATGGTTGAAATATGGCAAGTTCTTTTCTAATCTCTAGATATAATTTACTTGTGGAAATATACACTTAAAAAGTAAGTTAGGTTACATTATAGGATCCATTTGATCTGAGCCTTAAGTGCTAGACACATAAATCATCTAATCTGAACTGAGCTGAAGTTGGTAGATAAATTTCATAATAACTGGTCTTTTTGAAAAGGCTGTGAAAGCACAGGTCAGTGTAAATACTCACCCATAAGCTTTCAAATATCACAATGCAATAGAGGCCCAGGTAAGCTGCAGGCTGTGTCAATGACCACCTGATACACACAAGGTCTGGCCCAAAGTACAGGACACACCCAGGCTTTATTCTTCAAAAGGTTCTATGCAGGCTGCCTCCTCTAGTCAGCTGATGCACAATAACTGCACCTGTCTAAGCTCTGCCTGGGACAGGATTTTCTAATCACAATTCTAATTCAATTCTTCCAAAGATGTTAATAGTTGCTGAGCACTTTCTATGCCTGGTCCACATGCTAAGCACTTTACATGGAGTTGCTTATTTAATCCTCACAACAAACCTATGATTTCAGCATTCTGGAGGAGAGGCTTGGAGCAATCCATGGTCACAAAGCTTGGTGGAGCCAGTGCTGACATATTACATAACATTTTCAAGCACATTCATGTGGAGGGATAGCGGAGTAGAACATAAAGTATTCTTTGAGTTCTTATATTAAATGGAGATTTTATCGTATTTTTGGCTATTCAAAAGATAGCTATCAAATTCTTCCACCTTTTACTTCAGGAAAATGAGAGACAAAGAAACACACTTAATATGTCAGCGATAAATAAAAAAGCATAGAAATAATATAGTCTAGAGATGTAAAGTACTACAACTTATACAGATCAGACTAAAAGTAAACGCTACTTAAGTACACTCTAACCAAGAATCAGCATATGTGCTTTTAATTTTAATTAAGGGATTTACAGTCTGACTGGTCTTCGTTATTATGACACATAAAAAATAGGCCGGGCGCTGTGGCTCACGCCTGTAATCCTAGCTCTTGGGAGGCCGAGGCGGACGGATTGCTCAAGGTCAGGAGTTCAAAACCAGCCTGAGCAAGAGCGAGACCCCGTCTCTACTATAAACAGAAAGAAATTAATTGGCCAACTGATATATATATATAAAAAATTAGCCGGGCATAGTGGCACATGCCTGTAGTCCCAGCTACTCGGGAGGCTGAGGCAGAAGGATCACTCGAGCCCAGGAGTTTGAGGTTGCTGTGAGCTAGGCTGACGCCACGGCACTCACTCTAGCCTGGACAACAAAGTGAGACTCTGTCTCAAAAAAAAATAAATAAATAAAAATAAATAAATTCTGCCCTTGAGTCATTTATTTAACTCACACTTGAAAATTTAACTCACGCTGCACAAAATATTAAGCTTCTTCAATCTAGAAAACTCCAGATCCAGATGTGTCACTGGTGAATTCTACCAAACAATTAAGTAAGAAATAACACCATTGCCACACAATCTCTTCCAGAAAATAGAAGAGGAAATCTTTCTTATTTTATTTCATGCGACCAGAATTGCTCCAATACCATAACCAGTCAATGATATTAAAAGCAAATTACAGACCAATATCCCACATGAACACTGATGTAAATCAGGCATTCTTATCAGAGATTAGTACACATTACACTTGAAAAAGCCTCAATGTATCAATTCATGACAAGAACGGCTTGCTAGATGTCATCTCACTATTGTTTCTTGGGATAAAATTCTAACTTCTAAGATACCCGGGGGTTCTCTGCTAGCCCAGCATTCCTTTCCCCAGTGTCTTTCCCCAGATTCTTTCTTCCTAGCTCTGGAGATCACCCTTCCCCACACCACCCACTCCTCTAGGACTGCCACCCACAACCGGGTCACTTTATTAGGGTGTGAAAAATACAGGGCTGGCCAGCTAAGGGCTCTCTCTCCCCAACACAGCCCATAGGGATTCAGAACATCAGGCTCACCCACTGAAGAAAATCACCCCAAAATATCCAAGAGGCACCATCTACAAGAGGCACTAGAGGTATAAGTAAAATCCAAATAGCCTAAGTCCAGTGTTGTAATAATTATGCTCTTTTTACATAGGAAACACCTGCTCTTTAATTCCCTGGTGGTGGAGGTCACAATGAAAGAGCTCTGCCCTTAGATATCAAGTATTAAAGAGACAGGACACTTCGGTGAGTTAGCAAACCTGAGGTAAAGAGCCATTCTAAGCTCTTTGACTAACATACTGTTTAACCTCAACCCTTGTACTTCCCGATGTTCTACCTTCCTGAGTATAAAATGCTAATGGCTCAAAGCACTCTGCAAAATGCCTAAAACATTATAAATGCAGTATGTAATGTGAGAGTCAATAAAGTCAAATGTTATTTGAACCTATCTGTACACTTTGATTTGAGGCAACAAATCAAAATCAATAAATCCTGTCTTTTATGCTGTGATAAACTTACACTTATTCACATCACTTTTCCTCCCTAACCACATTTCCTCCCACCGCAGCCTCGCACTTCAATTAAATGTAGATATCACTTTACACAACCACAGAAAATATATCTTTTTAAAATTTTTATTTCCTTTTCTTTCAAATGGTGGTTTGGCTGACCTCAATTAGATTTGTTTTGGTAAAAACAATCTATAAAATTTCATTAAATCAGCTAATGCCTAAAAAATACACAAGTAGATGAATACAAGATACCAAGATCAAGCATTACACTAAGAGCCAACTGCCAAGCCTTCATCCATCAGGACGGCAATGCTATAAGAACAGAGAGCCCTTGGCAATTTCAAAGCTGACTTAAACAAGCCACACAAATGACATGAATTTATCGGACAAATTAGGTGGAGCAGGAAAGGCTATTTGAATCACAGCTACATCGGTGTGACTGACAGCAATATAGCTAAGCAGCAGCCAAAAGTTTTACTTGGTGATGTCACACACAATAACCTCAAAAAAGAAAATTAAAGATTAGATTGTAGGTAATAACATTAAAACACCAAAAACCAAAGTCATATAATTTTGAGTAGAAAAAGCAATATAAATTGAAACTAAACAAAAGCAAAAGGGATCTGGTTAAAGGAAACCAAGGAACTCGCGGGTCCCCAGCCTACACTACCCAACCACTTCTAGCAAAGATAAGAGGGTGCAAAAGATAAGGGCAAGACCAGGTATAGCTCAAGCAAGATCCACCTGTTCCAACAACTACGTACGTGTTCATGTTAAATATGTGATGCAAGATTAACCACATTTTATTTATATGATTATATATCACAGACAATTAAAATACATAATTCTAGGTTTCAGGATTATAGTTTCAGAACATTCACACACGCACTTTCAGAACTTGCAGAATTCTTTTTTTTGGCACAAAAGCTACATCTAAGACAAATGATATAAAAATATGTGATTTCACTTACTTGCTTTCTTATGTAGTAACTTGTGAGTAGCCCAACTTCCCTTAAAACATTCCTAAAAGAACAAAAAAGAAAATGAATGTCAGGCCTTCCTTAATTAGAAACATTTTAAGAAATCTTGTATATAAGAAAAAGTTACTGGAAACTTTATTTGCAAAAACCAAAATCTGTTACTGTGCAAATTAAATATTTAGGAAAAGCTTAAGAAATTAGGCCTATTCAAAATTTCACTTCAAAAAGTCATTAAACTTTATTCCAAATAACCAAGAACCCTATATGTTAGACAGTATAGTTATATTTCAATTTTATGTCACCAAATTATTTAAGTATTTGAAAAGAGGCATACCCAATTAATCAATCATACACTGGAAAAAACACAAAGAACATTTTTGCGGTAGATTCCCAATCAGTCATACACACACTAAATCCTATCATCCATCTGAGCAGCTGCTATGTGCACCACATGCCGACAGCCCTAAAGCTGGGTGGGGGAAGGACTATATGACGTTTATCACATTCGCCCAGAGCCAGAGTGCTTGGCACATGGTAGGGTTTCAGGGAGTACCTGACTGATCAGAATGAATAGCTAAAAAGACAACCTTTCATTTCGGAAAATACGTTCGTGTAACATTTCAGACACTACTAAGAAGTAAACAGGGAAAATGAATTCAAGTAATAAACCGAGGTCAAGTAAAGAACTCAGATAATAAATTAGAAAAATAATTCAACTGAACATAGGTCTTATTTATGCTTTGATTTATATAATCTCTTCTTTGAACAGTTCAAAGTTACTCAAATAAATCCTTTAAAAATATTAAGAAAACCTACAAATTCCTACAAATGTTTTATCTTTCTAGACATAAAATAAGACATGGACAAGAGAAAAGCTAAGAAGAAAGCAGGGAAAAGATCCCCAGGATTATGTAGCAATCAAACCACATTGCACCAGCGACACTAAAGCTGGGTTCCCACAGGTTTGCCCAGGGGCCTCTGAAGGGTCAGTTTCCGCCTCCTGAGGCAGGATCCTCACCACGTTCCCGTTTCCCTCCTTGTATCCTCCACAGCCTGCAACAGTGAAGTCAAGGAAATCCAATTCCTTCCTGCTACAATCTGCAACCTGGACAAACTTCAAACGTATAAAGGTATCCACAACATTAAAGATTTTTTCAGTTTTGAAGCTAAAACTGAGCTGAGTCTTCTATGGAGGATGGAAAGTGTAGCAGGCAGAACAACAGCCTCTCAAAGATGTCCACGTCCTCATCCTTAGAAAGAACCCGTGGAATCTGCGAATAGGTCACATGGCAAAGGGGGTTTGAGGCTGCTTCTCAGCTGACTGTGAGGTGGGCCCACGTAAAAACATGGGTCCTTGAATGGTGGAAGAGGGAGCAGAAGAATGAGTCAGAGAATGATGTCAGGACAGAAACAAGGTCAGAGAGATGCTGGCCTTAACCACTTTGGTGCGACGCTCACCGGCCGGGACACCTGGCCCGCAGCCGCACTCACAGCCCACACGGTGGCATGTGCTGTGCGTTGACGACACGTCCGTTTTGCTCTTGTGTGATGAGGAAAGCTTGAAGGCACTGAAAGCTTGCTTTACTTTACAGGCAGTTTTACTTGTCATGTCAATCAGACTAGGTAATATATACATATATGTTTTCATTACGTTATTTTTAAATGTTCACAATTTTATTTTGATAAATGAAAGATTAGAAAATTTGACTAAAGTCACTGTGCACGTTCATCTGTGGCTGTCGGCTACAGTCGCCGCTGGTCCCGAAGTGGTTACAGATGGAGGGAGCTGGCCACAAGCCAAGGAACGTGGGCAGCCTCTCAAACGTGACAAGGACGAGGCAGTGGCTTCTCCCCTCCATCCAGAGAGGAGCACAGACCTCTCAACACCTGATTCTTGCTCAGACCTCGGTCAGACTTCTGACCTACAGAACTAGACAATAGTAAATGTGTGTTCCCTTTCTCCTAGTAGGGTATACAAGCATCTGCAGCCCCTTCAGGACACTGCTCAGTCACTCTGGGATCCTCCCACACACACACTAATAAACGTGCATGCCACCTCTCCTGTTAATCTGCCTTTTGCTGAGTTTACTAAAAACCTTCTGAGGGTGGAAGGGAAGTTTTCCCTTGCCCCCTACATAGCCATCACTAACTAACATTTTGAAATTCTGCACACCCACTGAAAAGTAGCTACTCAAATAGCCTTGTATGTTCCTCAGAGGATTTCAAAATGCTTTATATTTGGTTTAGGAAACTTATGTCAAACTCAGCTTTTTAATAAGAGGGCTCACAGGATTATTCTCATTAAATAAACTGGAGAACCAGCTCACAAAGCAGCTTAATTAGCTGAAAGATTATATTTCAAGATATGGGAGCATAAAGTAGATATGGGTAACCAAAATATGCACAATAAACACCCCTCACCTCTGTAAGAACACCCACCTTTCTCTTCCTTGCTGAGGCCATGAGGTGACCAGGTCATGGTCTTCAAATCACTGATGATGTCAGAAACATTCCCACACTTCCTAACAACTCGATAAGTCTGAACAGCACTCCTTTCCTAAACTTTTCTTTTTCTTCCTCCTATTTATTACCAAGTGAAGGCCACTCAAAACACTGAGTGACCAATGTACCAATGGCCTAACTAAACCAGACTTAAGAGTTCCCCAGACTAACACCACATTTCCCAACCCTCTTCCCTTAGTCTCTTCCCTGGTCTATCTGACCCTGACACCTTTACAGCAGCGACTCAGAAGCATTAGCCATTATTCCATTAGATCTATTCCAAATGCCACTTGCCCCAAAAAGTGTTCTCATCACACCTCATCCCCAAGACTAACAGAGGTCACATGTACTTATTCATTACTCATTTGAGAGTCCTTTGTCTCACTATTTTCCACCTACTTAATAACACCCAAGCACTATCTATTATCTATTAAAACATGTAGGTAAAACTTCAGTTTTCACCCCTAAGAAAACACTTTTTCTTCAGCACCAACAGGCTTCTACTAGTTTTAGAAGTTAATATGGGACAGTGTGGTTCTTCATCTTAGATACTCACTGAAATCATCTGGAAAGTTCTTCTTTAAAAATAAATACCCATGCTATTCCCCACCTCAAATTAAATCAGAATTTCTGGGGATTGGTTACCTAGGTAATTCTTATTTATTTCCAAGACTGCAAAATCAATGGAGAGTGAAAAGGTACCACCAGAGCTAAGAGCACTGTGTTCGAGTTTCACTGCTAGAAGTCATTTCCTACTTTAATCTTATCTAACTAATATTTACAATTCCCACCTCATTTTAGGCCCCACTGCCTTGCCAAACTACAACACCTTTACCAAATGTCTCCCTATCCTGAACCTCTCTAATCTCTTCCTATTTCAAACTATCCTACAAGTATTAATACATAAAATTAAATACTTTAAGAAGGAAGGAATTCCTGTCACACACTACAACACAAAGGAAACTTGAGAACATTATATTCAGTGCAATGAGCCAGTCACAGAAGTACAAAGACTGTACAATTTCACTTGTGTAAGGTATCTAAAGCAGCCGAATTCATAAGAGTAGAAAGCAAAATGGTTACAAGGGATTAGGGAAGGGGACTAAGAGGGGCTGCTGTTTAACAGGCAGTTTTGGCTCTGCAGGATAAAGTTCTGGAGATCTGTTTCTCAAACAATATCAATATACTTAACACTACTGAACCGTACGCTTCAAAATGGTTAAGATGGTAAAGTTGATATGCTTTTCACAATTTTTTAAAAAGACACATTAAAAAAAGGCAAATTACAAAACTGTATAGCTGTATACAATGCAGAGCAATGATCCTACTTCTGCTGTGAAAGAATAAAAACAGCAGCTAACAGTTAAGAGCTTACTGTATACCAAGCACCCAAAGAAGTAGGTACTATTATTACAGATATCTCATTTTATAGGTAAGAAAACTAAGGCACAAATTAATTAATATGTCCAGAAAACACAGTTTATTAAAGGCAAATAAATGCAGGTTTTGAATGCAGGCCCTTCTGAGACAGCATCCATACTCTCATCCTCTGTATCAGCAGTCCCCAACCTTTTGGGCACTAGGGACCAGTTTCATGGAAGACAATTTTTCCATGGACCTGAGAGGGGTGGGGGGCAGGGCTATAAATACAATACAAACGAAGCTTTGCCCAATTCCTAAGTTTCACGGAAAACAATTCTGCCTCAGGGCTGGGGGCGAGGTGCAGTCTCAGGCAGTGATACACGGCTCAGTTCCCAACAGGCCACAGACCAGGAGTTGGGGACTGCAGCTCTATATGAAACATATATAAAAATCTGGAAAAATCAGAAACTAAACTATTCAGATCCTTTTAGCATATCAGGACTATGATAGTTTTTACTTTATACACTTCTGTTTTAAAAACCTGCAAAGATCATATGCTGCTTTTTATAACAAAAAAGGATATATTTACAAAAAAATATACTCAATTGAGCAGCAAGGCCTCTATCCCTACTAACAGTAATTTCATTTCCTTATATTTCTGCACTTGGATTCTTCACCCAAGTAAAGCTAATCTACTTGCTACTACACACATGCCTCAGCTTGCTCCTACTTCCATAAATACATCCTTTCCCTGGAGAGAATGTCCTAGCCTTCACCTCAATACACACCGTTTTATTGACCTCCCCATTTATTTCATTTACACTTTATGCTTATCAATATCCCTTCTTAACTTATCTATTTCAAGAGGACTTTCAGAGCCTGTCTTCACTGATATCATTTTTCACCTATTTAATGCGCTGTCTTGAAAAATTGCCTTTGGCTGTTTTATTTGTATCCTCCACATCAGCAAAAGTCCTTGAAGATGTCACTACCCCCTCCAGAGGCAAGGATACTCCAGCAGGAAGAAGCATACCTAGCATCCAGATGTAGATGTCTAAAGACATTCCTACTGGAGGCCAGGACTGCTTAGAAACAAAACTGAATCCAGATCTGAGACAGAGAAAGCGTAAAGTAGGCCAGGAGTGGTGGCTCACGCCTATAACCCTAGCACTCTGAAAG